ACCCCTCTTCTTACGTCAATGGTGATATTGTTGTAGAATGGAGATATTTTGGTCGTGAAATCTTTATAAAGTTCACGAAGGATCATTATGTACCTAGTAGGGACGCCATATTTTCCAGAGCCTCTATAACCGCTTCTGTTTCCACTGAATCAAAGGCTTTCTTCAGATCGAAGAATCTGTTGTTTGTACTCTCGTGAGACTTCAATGAGTCTTGTAATCGTGTGGATTTGGTCTATGGTACCAAATCCTTTTCAGGACCCTGGCTGTTCGCATGGCTGTCCTTCGTACAGTGTTCTATCAATCCTGTTTAGGATGACTCGAGAAAAGAGTTTATAGGACAACGGACAGCAAGCAGATTGGGCGATAATTGCACATGTCGTGAAGGTCTCCCTTTTTGAACAACAAGACGGTCTTGCTGGTTTTCCATTGAATAGGGACCTTGCATTCTGTCAGGTAGCGCGAAGAGCCGAGCCAGGGTATTGATGAGAACTGGTGGCTGATTCTTCAGGTGTTCTGGTCTAATCCTGTCTGGACCGGGTGTTGTTCTGTTCTTCACCGACAATATGGCATGTCGGATTTCGATAAAGAGAACCAGTGGGACGACATATTCGTCCTCTTCAAATTTATATGACGGTAAGAGGACATGGTTAGCGAAGAGATCCGAGTAGTATTAGTGGATGATTTTTTTTTCACACGGTAGGCGACAAAAATTACTCATAAAGGGCAGGGAGCATATTTATTATAGAAGGATGTTGTTTCTTCGTATTGGATGATATGGATTCTCTAGATGCATTGCATTGCGCATTACTTTATGTCAATCAAAGTGATCATAATTACCATTGATTCATCCGTTCTCATAACAAAAAAGCATTGTTGAGAGGAACGCAATCTCCTCTCTTCCTAATCTCTCAAGTCTTCTCTCTCCTATATCTCCTCAAAGTAATCATTATGATGATTAATTTGTCCGTTTTTATAATAAGATAAAAAAACCAAAATCTTTTGGTAGCAAAGTCATAGGTAATATTGGGAGCTTTCCTCTCAAAGGGACACACAATTTCTAACGGAATAACAAAAAAATCGAAAGGTCGAAAACTGATCGATGACCCGGGTCAGCCCATCATATCGCCTCAGTCAACGGCTCGTTGATTATCTGAAAACCACTTGCTCGCGCATGCCAGTTGAAACATTTTTCCTGTTGCACTGCAGAGAAACGGTCTGAACGGAAAATAAGCATAGAATTGGAGTCAATGAAACTTACGCTATCAAATGATTACTGATAGGCTAAAAAAGAGTTTTTTCCGCCTAGAAATGTGCGCATGTAAAACATAATTATATTCTCGATGTTACAGCATAATAAAAGGGACCTTTCAAACGGGCCAAGTACGGCTCCAGCCAGAAATTCAGACTTTTGAATGATAACTAGTACTCCTCTAAACAGTTTACACGTAAACGTTTTCAAATCTAACTCAACGAATGGCTCAAGGGACGTCACGACAATCTGTTACGCTTACACTATTTTGGAAATAATTTGACGCCTCCGTAGGTACGGTACTTGATGAGACCGGAGAACGCACACCAGCCAACTGTCATTTTTGCATACATACCTCCAATCTCTAAGTCTCTCTATAAACATTCACCATAATCCGTTGGAATGTTCAAGGCCTTTTCGAGGCTAACGCGTCAATAGTTTACGCACGTTTTGGTGGTATCGCCTGCTTCATCAAGGCTACACGCCGCACATGAGCCCTACTTTATAGCATGGATTGGGAGACGCTACGGTGACAGCAGGTGATATTGTTTTATCACCATATTTTTCAAGTTTAAACTTAGACGGGAGTTGAATTTGTGCTTCATTCCTACCAGGGGTGTGCGCTGGCCAACTGCACTTGACTAAACGCTAGTGGATATTTACAGAAAAAAGATTTATTGATCATACATAACATACAATACCTGTTAACGTGACTGGATTCAAAACTGGTATGTGCTTGCCAGACTAAACCGCTGACCGCTGGTAGGTGACAGATCGATACCTTGTGTCGCAAAAAGAGTGATGGCCCAACACTATTGTCGGTAGTGCAATTGGTTAGCACGCACTGCATAGGAGTAAATAGAGGAGTTTGATTCCTGTCTGACGTCTAACTTTTGCACTCACTTATTCATCACTGCTGGATATATATTTGTAACGTCACACCATCGCTTAAGGTATAAACTTCAAAAATTTCAGTTTGATCATGCAAATTATTGTCATTGCGATCAGTCAACAACCGTGCTGTATGAGAGCATTTACCAAGTGAGCTATTTCAGCAGTGCGATGCTCCACCCCTGTAGAATCGACTTGATGCGAAAATGAAGATCTTCATCGTAAATTGAGAACCGAAGGCAATCGACGCGAATCACTGCCATTATGCCGTGCACTGACAACAGCAACGGAGCTTTATGCTTACTACAGAGTCCGAAGTCAAGATGGTATGCGTTTATTTGCGACTATTCTACTTCACTTTGGTTTTGCTTCCGATTAGTCCAATTTTTGGAACTCAGTGTTTTGTTTTGATTAGACTTTTCAACACGTCTCATGAGAAACCTGCAAAACGGAATCTCAAGGACGGCCGTGTTTTCACGAGTAGTGTCATCTTTGCACGACATTGATGTTCTGAAACATTTCATAGCTTTCCATGAATGAATTTTCTTGTGGTATTACGGAACGTGATTTGTTCAAAGGTTTTCCAGTAGTGTAAGTTTCAGTTTCAACCTCCGAGGCTCGAATAATTCCCCAGCCTCTTGCCAAGACAGCGGCTTCTTCTGGATGTGGGGACAAAGATGAAGGAGGTGAGGACATCATAAGATCAGACGAATATAAGTTTTATAGTTGCCGAATATCAGTTTCATAACAGATGGAAAAGCGATGAAAGTTACTTGCCAAATAAAAGTTCTATATCGTAACTTTCGTTTCGAGTTTTTTTCAAGGCCGCAGCTCAAATTACAATATGCCTGGTAATCATCTTTGAGCCGCGCATGTGGTGACGGATCGCACAGATGGATGCTCTGTGTCGCAGAAACGGTGACTGCCCAACAGGAGTGTCGATATTGCAGTTGTTTATCATTCGCCACGAAGGGACAATTCTCCAAATTTGATTCCCGTCCAACATGTGGATCTTAGCACATCACTCATTCATCATTGCTGGATATGTGTTTGTAATATTCCACAACCGTTCAAGGTAGAAAATTCAGAACAAGAGATTGTGTTTAATCATAAAAATCATCACCACTGACAATCAATCACTACCGTGCTAAGTAAAATAGCTCGCTGAGTGAGGTGTTTTAGTCGTGCAGTGTCCCATTCCGGAAGAATTGCTTCATCGCAACAACGGAGAGCCGAGGGCAATCAATGTGAATTTCCGCCACAGCCTCAAGTACTGACAACAGCAACGCAGCTTTGTGCTTGCAGCAGAGTCCAAAGCAAAAATGGTTGGGTTTAGTTGCTATCATTTTTTAACTTCTTTTTCATTTTTTTTTCTGTTTTGCCTGTGGTGTAGATTTGTGTTCTAAGCAGTGGTGCTCAAATTATTTGTGGACCTCTCGCAAGGACAGTAGTTTCTCCTGGATCTGGAACCAGTTATGCAGTTTTATAATTGCCGAATAATAGTTTTATAACGATAAACAAATGTGGTAAAAACCACTCGCAGAATAAAAGTTTCATGATAACCTCGAGTTAGTTTGTTAATTAGAAACTGATACATTCTGCAGTCTGTTTACTCAGCTTTATACATTGTACTGGTGATTGACTCTGATAGTGGAATAAAACGATGATTTTATTTTTCTGTTTAGCATAAAGGTTGAGCAAGATGTATACACTTTGACTTTTTGCGAAGTAAGACAGAGATGACACAGCGTTGGCATTTGTTTATTACAACGTAATTCATGTGCTCTAGAAATACGGAAGTTTCAAGGCTAATGCACAGAATGTTTGAAAACTATCTCATGTTACGGAAGCCATGTTGAAGGATCGTTCATCAGAACAGTTTGAGATTCCCTTCAAAACACACGAGAGCCCCATTTTACCCAAGACTAAAAATGCCCGTCATTCAACCGGAAGTGGGAAATTGGCGCACTGCTTAGTTCAAAAAATTAAGACATAATTATAGGACGCCGCAAGTTTTTATGAACACAAAATACGACTTTCACCACAAACCACAAGTCGTGATAAAAGCGAATACATGGCGACTCCGTCAGATGGTGACCAGTGCAAGGAGTCATTAAGTCGACGAAACCTCGTTTGAAAAAATCTCTTTTTTAACGATAGGAAATGTTAGTGCGTAGGGTCTTCTTCTGAAGTGCCTATAAATAGTCAGTAGTTTAACTCATCTTGATGCCTCCACATCGCTAAATTTGTTGATGAGGTTTGTTGCAGATAATAAATTGACAAAATCATTGAGTACATGTTTATCCTTGATCAGTAGCGACTTTTATAGTGTATTTAACAAACCATCGAAATGGTCTGAAAATGTTGACTAGGTAGACATCGACAGTGAGTTTGACAGAAATAAAAGCTGCACGCTGTACAGTTCATGTAAGTACACCTTCTCTCATGCAACGCTCCTCCGCCATTTGTCACATAGTCACGAGCTTCCCTTAACTACGATTCCAGCGATATTCAAGGTTGCATTTCACCTTTCCGGAAGCGTGGTGGAAAAACATGCGTCGATAGTACAAATGGTTGAGCATGCGCCGTCCGGAGAGAATGAAACGCATCTCAAACTCTGGCCCGACGTCAAAGTGTTGCATATCACTCAACATTACCGGGATATTGAAAACATTGCCATCGTAAACAGGCCTTCGCAACAATATGAAACATCTGAGTTTACAACTATTTCTAAGAACCTCAACGGTTCGGCCTAGCAAGCCACATCGGCATTGATTCCAGTAACTCCGTATATGGATATGCAAGAAAGACAAACATTGTTTTTATTAAACCGTTTATTAGAAAGTGTGCTGGCAAAACAGGTGTCGATAGTGCAATTGGCTGAGCACGCGTTCCTAGAAAACGCGATATACGGGTTCGAGTCCCGCCGGACATCAAAGATTTGCGCAGAAGACAGCAACACTAGGTATTTATATATAATTTTGAGTAGTAGATAAAGACGTTAAAAGTTGAATCATATCTATATTGGCATTCTCCTTTCAAAACAAACGTCGTCACTTCCACGCTGCCTGAAATTTATTGAGAAAAAGCTGTCATCACGGTTTCCATTATCACTACAGCACTAAAATTATTGAATCATAGTGGATAAGTTGCTGACAGAGTGATGCGTTGTAGCGTAGTAAGAGTGGCGGTAAAACACGCGCCGGTAGTGCAACTGGTTATGCACACGCCTACCGAAAGGGTGAAATGGGGATTCGAGTCCCTCTTGACATCAGAGTCTTGCACATCACTTAACAACATTGAGTTTTGAGTGATCAAACCGAATTCATTTTGTTTGACGGCTTT